TGTTCCGTTTCACAGTCAGAATTAAAACTGAGGTATGACAATTTTATACCTCAGTTTTGACCTGACTGGATCTCTTGTACGTGTATAATAGATCGAAAGTTCATCCTTTTTCTACCGCTTCATTAAAAAAAGAAACTTCATCCGCTGTGAAAGAAGTTTTCCGAACTTTTCAGTATTGTTCTTTTCTAGGTCTTGTGTTATACAAATATGTTGATACGATTTGAGACTCCTAAATATTCACTGCAAATTTTTTTTGCAACAGCTATTTGGGAGGTTCAAAGTAGTCTTGGCTTCAAGTTTTATTCTGAATCGTGTTGAATTTTTAGAATGTTGAACATTTGAAGTTTTTTTTCCTTTCTAGAGCCGTGACCTGCGAACAGTTGGCATGAAATTCGGTCACGTTATTTTCCCAAAATCTGATCGGCAACAGCTATTGAAGGATTGGGACTTGTGGGGACCACTTTTTATATGTGTCGGTCTCTCACTGTGAGTGTTTTCGGCTTTGATTCAACTTTTCTTTTATCTTATGGTCTGACTGCCTTCGTACTTCGCAATTTGGGCATTCTGATTGCGCAGGCACCATCAGAACGGCCAAATCAGGACGTATGAACGCACTCTGTCATAACTTCCAATGTACTGGGTCGCCCTCCTAGCTCGCGAAATAATGGAAAAGGAGAATATGCTAGGAGGAGCGTGTGCTTATCAATACTGTCAATATTTCTCGAGTATTAGTAATTTTCCGAATCTGCTACACTTCTAAATGGTATCATATCATATGTAGTCCTTTCAGTATGTTCTCCGAATAGTCAATTTTTCGGCTAGCCGAAAGTGGCCCCAGTATCCTTATCACCTCAGCTTTTGCTTTGCTGAAAAGAAAAATTCTAAGCCTACCCAAGCACCTACCTAAGCGTTAATGATTACTTAAGTTTACAATAAGTTAGCTCATTTAGCCTTCTTCAACATAATGCCCCTGATGGATCTGCTCCACAGTTTACACAAGTGTTTGCCATCACATTTTTCGGCTCAGTGATTGTCACCATAAACATTAAATTGCTGGGAGGCCAGATGTGAGTTGACTGTTGATTTCTTGTAAGCTTCAGGACGTATTCTCGCAGCACAGGTGCTGAATGTTTTTTGCTATTCCACAGCTCGCAGATTCAGTGCACAGTTCGTATGGCTGCTTTTGAAAGTGTTTACATATTATCTGTGATGTTGCCTGGGTCCTCATTCTTTTTATTTCAGATGTTTAAAGCGAATTTTCAAAACTTTTGAATTTTAGATCATTTTTCCAATCGTTGTATGTTATTGGATACTGTCTGCTACCTCCATTCGTAGCAGCAATAGTGTGTTCTCTCCTTCTTCATGGTCGTTTATTCATCCTCCGGCTACTAATTACAGCTATTGGGTTCTCATGGTCAACCTACGGTTTGTATTTTTCGTTTCTGTTTATATACTAAAATTTGCCTTTTTTCTTATTTCACCATGGAGACGGAGGTGTAGCGGCAAATAGCGCTGCATACCACCTACTCGATCCTTGAGTCAAGGTTTTTACCGGGAAAACAAAGCGTAAGATTTCCTCCAAGGCCGATCGATAGATGCCAGAATCGCCTGTTAGGACAAAACACAGATTAATATATCTGCTAGCGAATGTGTAATTATTTGTGCCAAACGAGGTTGTTAGATGGGACATTCTTATTGGCCCGACGTTTCGACCTTCTCGTCTTCTTCAGAGGCCTGAAAATGGCTCGGGGTTTTTAATTTGTCACCTACAAGACCAAGCGCCTTCCCCACTCTAGCGTTTCCGATGTCGTGTCCCGAACCCGGTAATAACTGCGCACTACTCACCGGGTTCCACCGTGCGGAGAACCTAGCTCCAGCCTAGTTTCAGTAGGTAAATAATAGATAGCGAATGAGCCAACTAGAGCTGTCCATAGTGCTCACATAAAGTCAAAATTGTGACAATTTATGACAATTGGGGGTCTTTTTGGGAGGTTATTATTCTTTTAGGTGCGGAGCTTTTGAGGAATGGTAAGTAGCATGCAAAGGCAATGTTCCTAGTTGCAACCTGAATAATTCCCCGTTTGTGAAATATTTCGGGTGGGTTTCGGATAGGCCAGGGGTAAATCGCAAGCGGGTTTCTATGCTTCACCCGAGGTTTACTTATTTCAAACGAAATTTCATCCGGACCAAAGCCCTCCTCAAGGCACCCTATCTTTCTTCTTTCCAATAAGCTTTACAGTTTTCCTGAAGATCGGCTAGTCCAGGAGATAAATTAGATGGGCTGCCAACGCGCTAGTTTCTGAACCACTCAAAAGTTGGACTGCTTCGGTGCCATCATGAGGATACTCATTCAAGAACTCCAATATGCCTTCAAAACACATATTCCCACACAAATGTAGAGCCCGGTTATCATCGATGGATTTGGTCCGAGTGTGCGCCATGCACTACGCTTCTACGCAAAGATGTTGGAAAGGTGTAACTCCTATTTTAGGTGATTTTTGTCCGTCCAAGCAGATTTTTGTTTAGGGTTTGGAAAGTACAATACGCACGGATCTGTTTGAGAAGTATTATTTAGTCATCTAAGCACTGACGAATTCATGCTAGCTGTTGTTATTATTTTGTAGCCTTACCTACATCCGGGTCATCTGCAGCTTTCCGTTCGCTCCATCAAACTTAGCAGTGACACTTTTGTGCTGTTTTAATGCACTGCATTTACGACCCTCCCACGTCCCTTGCGGCCAAGTACTTCCCCCGATTTCGCATGAAAAGAAAGCTGAGGAACGGAGCGCTTAAATCTGCCGAGAATACACTCATAAGAATTTTCACATTTTTTTTAACATCACGGCTCTCATAGCTCTACTTCTTCTATCAATTGAAACGTCATAGCGTTGTCCGGTGCTGACTGACAGTTGAGGTTACGACCCCTCCAACCTCCTCCCCTGCGGGACCAAGTTACACCCCTTCCCCCCACCCCGATGGGTTTCGCACAACGATGCTGTACCCTGTGTGGTAAGGCGTGTGGCCACGCGGTTGCGCGGAAATTATGAAAACGGCACCCAAACGTCGCTACCCTCCTGCCCCTGCCCGTCCATTTTTGTCCGGAGAAATTGGCATGTTACTGCAGCTGTGAACCATTCACCGCACACATGGCAAGGGCCGGGATCCACGGAAGGAAGTGCGATTTGTCGTTATGCTGGCTCCTTTCGTTCGTTTGCTCTCTGGGAACGGAGGATTGATCAGCGCCGTAAGCTTCAGTATCAGTTTTTGTCGCTCTGTGTTTAAGTGAATCGGCAATGAGCGATGACACTTGGAAGACACAGTAAATTTTCAAAATTTCTTAGTATAGCGTCACCAAAATATATGGTGCACACTTTGTGTTGAGGAAGCAAATTACTGGTTTTTGTTCGTTCCTTCTTATTTACCAGTTCTGATGCCGGCAGTGTGTAGTATTCCAGCATTACCCGACTTCTGGATAGGCGCCTTCTATGTTCGCTGTGACCCTGAATTTTGTAAGCAAATATGCGTTGTTTTGCAGCTCACGTTTTTGTTGCAGTGCTAACTGCTGCATGCAAAAGGTAAAGGTTTCGCTGTTGAAAAGTCCGTTTTTCGATGCGGCGTGCATTCTAGATCTGAATAGAACCGCACTGGCTTATTTGACATGGTCTGTACAATGAGCTGCAGAGGCAGCCCGACGCACAAGTCAAGTTCTTGCCCTCACAGGCGAACCTTATGTCCGTTTTCGTTATTAGTGCGTAGAAGGCTTAGCTGGCCTGGTGAGACCCAATCCGAAAAATTTGACCCCCCTTCGCATGGAAGAAATAAGATTGTTTGCAAGTATACCTAATGCAGTCTGCCGAGTGAGGGATGGAGGTAGATTATGCGCCCGAAGCAGGAAAAATCAAGGTCAACGAATGCTAGGAGGGGTTTCTAGGTTCAGAGTGAAGATATGATCTCAGTGATAAGTTTCGCTGGGTTACCGTGTGAAGCACGCGAGCGTGGTCTGCCAGATTGGTATATGCATATATACCACTTTCTTTTTAATTCACCACTTTTCAAGCGAAATCACCACTTTTCAAACCAAATTCACCACTTTTCAAACCAAATTCACCACTCTTTTAGACCGGGCAGTTCACCAACCAGATCACGCCAGACACCACTGCGAGCCCCGTCCCGACGGCCACGCCTACTTGTCAGCGCGGACTAGATTTTCAACACATTATCACATCTGAACAAAATAAATCAAGCAACGTTTGTTCCAAGTAACGACGAGACCCAAGCATGCAACCCAAGACTTTATACTGCCGATTTGCACCATTCTTGAAAGTGAGCGGGCTTCTTCAAAGTGGGCGGAGCCTCTCACAGTGGGCGGGGCTTCATGTAGCAGTCCAAAAATGCAAAATTTTGAAAAAAATATCAAAATTCCGCAAAAAGCAAGTGGGCGTGGCCGAAGGGGGCGGAGCCTAAGCTGCCAGTGCATAAATGCGCGGGTACGAGTGTCTTCGTTGTGCAAAGTGGATGTGAAATTAAAAAGTTGAAAAAGTTATGAAATTTCGAAGTTCGCAACAAACCCTTTGAAGAATGGGCGGAGTCGGCCATGTGTCGATGTGTTGAAAATCTATGTCCGCGCTGACAAGTAGGCGTGACCGTCGGGGCGGGGCTCGCAGTGTCTGGCGTGATCTGGTTGGTGAACTGCCCGGTCTAAAAAGAGTGGTGAATTTGGTTTGAAAAGTGGTGAATTTGGTTTGAAAAGTGGTGAATTTAAAGTGAAAATGGTATACACATTTAATGTTTCCTGTCATCGTAGTGTGCTTTGTCGCGGTTCCTAGTCAATATAGGTTCGATTTCAGCGGCCATGGGCTTTTTGGCTGGCTGCCAACCGGAGAAGAAAAAATTTCTCGTTGTGTATCCCATATTTCTTTTCTACTTTGTTGTCAGCTGGATGATCATTTCTGACTCGTAGAGTAGCTCTAAAACATAAGACAAAACTACCGTTTCTCACCTTCTGTCATTTTTTCATATCTCTATGAAGATATTTTCGGTGATTGCAGATTGTAGGTCTTTCCAGCTAATGGTAGAGTTACGTGCAATAGAAAGAATCGTCCTGTAGTGAAGCTATGGATTGTTCTCATGTTCTGTTGATGTCGAGTGATTCATTGAGTTCGATTTATTAAGAGTATGGCGTCGTTGAAGCAATCGCTTTAACTTTTCGCCCGTTTGCGGGTACACAACAATACTATCTTTAACAGTAATAATGTGCCTATAATGTATCTATAGATAATTTTCAGTCGTATTTTCCAAAAACAAGGGCTGTGATCTTCTAACTGTGCTAGATTTTATTGTACGTGGTCGTGTTTATGTACATACTCGGTGTTGTCTAACTCTTGTTGGGCTTAAACTATTCCTGCGTACAGCATAAAGTTACATTTCGTTTAGTTGCATTTTATTGGTCCTACTATCATATCCATGACAGCTACAATGTTGTTCGCCGAGGATTCTGAGGCGTGTGCTGTGTTTCGCGCAGCGGCCGAGAGATGTACTATTCCTGTCCGGTCTCATCGACAATCCATGCGTCCGTTCACGGTCCTGTGAAAATTTGCCTAGGGGGGAGGTGTTTTGGCCTTCAAGCACGAAGATCACATCAGTTTTTCACGGGACCACCGACCACCTGGTGTGTGAGCTCCAGACACCGCGCCAAAACAGCTTAAGTCACCTATCGACGGAACCTTGTCGTGAGGGATAGTGTAACTCTCTGGAAGTAAATATTAGGTTGTCCGGAAAGCTCTCAGCGTTCTGTGTCACCATTTTTTTGTTGTACATTCATTGTTCATTCTCTTCAGAAGTGCATCCTGGAGAGAATTTTTTGCGCTATCTGATT